CCCCTGGGGCGTGGATTCTCACTTTCTCTTTCTCTATCTCTCTCTCTGGTGAGTGCATATGCCCTAAGGTAAGCACCTCTAAAAAAGAAAGAGGGACCAACAGTAGCATGGTAGTTCCAGCTCTAGATTCCCACCGGTCTGACTAGTTTGAACCCAGTGGCTTGAAATTGTGATAGATCCATAAATAAATAAATAGGGCCAGCAAATGGCCTAGTGGTTAGGGTGCTAGACTCCTATATGGCCAACTGCGGTTTGAGTCCCAGAACTGGCCGTTTGCTGTCTCCCTGTTCCTCTCTCTCTCTCTCTTTCTGTATCTTTCTAGTAAACGCACATGCCCTATAGCGATTTAAAAATAATTAAAAAAATAATTCTTTTAAAAATATTTAAAAAAGATAGAGACCTGCTTGCGATACACACTCAGGCTCTGACACAGATTGTTGTAAAAGTATGGTTGCAGAGATTGGAGGTTTACTGTGGAAACTGTAAATGGTTAGCAGTTTGCAGAGCAAGTTAGAAAAGGGAAATGGGGCCAGCAGGTGGCATAGTGGTTAAGTCACTGGACTTCTACGTGGCCAGTGGCCAAGGGCGGTTTTAGTCCCGGGATCAGCAGCTTGAAACTCACACAGGGAACATTTGTGCATGCCCCAAATCTCAAGAGAATGGAGGAGAAAAGATTGCAGTGTGGCCATGGGGGTAGGGATTTACTTTTCCTCTCCCTCGCTCCAGCAAGTGCACGTGCCCTAAGAAAAGGGAAATAGAATCTATTCTGCAGGGTCTCTCGTTCCGAAGCCTTTGGGTGAGGTCTCTACAGTAGTTTTCCATCCTTCACGTGACAAGCGGTCACAGAACAGGCACCTCAAGAGGAGAATTTAATTTTGTGACGAGGAAACATGCAGATTTCTTTTTCTTTGTAAGGATTATTTAATTTTTAAGGTAATCACTTAACTCATTTTAATTTCATTAGGGAGAGACACAGAGAAAGTGAGAAAGCAAGTCACTAGGTCCCGGACTCGAACATCGTCAGCCATGTGTGTCCAGCGCCTTAACCACCACACCCCCTGCTGGTCCCCAACACGTGCTGATATCGAAACTTGAGTGCTAAGTTGGAACATATTTTTCGTTCCTATTTCTGCTTTGTTTTCCCGAGGTTTGCGGAAACCCAGCTCTGTGGCCGCTCTGCGGGGCGGCGGGGGGAAGGGACCTTCCGAGGCGGCCGGGTGCGCTGAGTCCCCGCGCGGCCTCGGCCGACATCGGAAGCCGGTGTGGATA